CCCGGGGTGGGGGGGGGAGTGGGGGTCCCAGAACCACTGCGGGACCCAAAAGGGAGGAATAAATCCCCACACACCCACCCCCCCGCAGTGAGAAACTGGGTTTTTGGCCAGGCTACGGGCTGTACCTGTTCTGCCAGGGCTGTGCAGACGCCTGTCACACAGCTCTGTGCCTCTTTGTTTTTCTAAGTAGCTTAGGAGGAGAAAACAGGAGTAAAAAAGGAGTGTCCTCCTGTTAAATGCATGCCAGTTAAACCCTATAAACAGCTGCTTATTATAAGGCATAATTTCCTTGGCTATGAATGCTTTAAGCACAGTTTTGACCAGGCTGCTTTCTGGTAATGACCTTATGCAAATACCTTATGTTAAATTAATTCAAATTCTTGTTGCCTCTCTCTCTTTTTTTTTTTTTTGGGTTGTGTTCCCCAGTACTATGAAATGTCCTATGGTTTGAATATTGAAATGCACAAACAGGTGAGTAATTTAAAGGGGGGGGAAGCGAGGATTGATTGATCTCCTGTTGCCCTTTTCTCAACCTGAGATAAAATGGGCCCTGATTGCACTAAATGGGGGAATAAGTGCTGGAGTCAGGGATGTGACTCCAGGTGGGATGGTGTGGTCTGGCAGTTATATTAGGAATGCAAGTTGATGGCAGCCTGGCGGGTGGTTTTTTTGCCTGTATTCAGGATAAACTCAGGTTTTTGAGAAGAATGGTTATGAGGAGAGGTGAAAATAGCCTTGCCTTTCGTGCTGGGGGCTCAGTACCTGGAATAGAGCATTCCCAGCACTTGGAAAATACTGTTATCTCTTGTGTTTTCCTCTGGTTTTGTTGGTGGTGCAAGGCAGCTGTTTCTAAGGTCATACCCCTGATACTGGCCCTGCTGTAGCTTGAGACTTAGCAGGGAATTATCTTCAGGGATACCCATATCTTCTGGGTGTGTTGCTCAATGTCACGGATTTGTCTTTGCATCTGGAAGGGGAAGCGATGTGGGGTAGATGGGGTTTGTTTATTGTTTTGTTTGTTTGTTTGTTTCCTCTAACATCCCAACTTGCCTGAAGGAAAAATATCGAGGGCCATAGCAGAATGTGGTGTGCTACCTTGATAAGATTATAGCTAAAGAGCCTAAAGGCTGGGCACATGATGGTAAAACTTAAAGGAATAAAGTTATTATTGAGATTAGACCCGATTATTTGTGCTGCTGCTGCTTACTGGTTTTAGAAGTAGTTCTAATTAAGAACTTAAGGCAGATAGAAGTTGACATCAACTTTGCAATTCGCAAATCAGCCCCATTCAGCTCCAGAGTGGTTTTGCTTAATAGCAGCATCACAGCCCTGGGTGAGAGAGAGTCTTTGCTGACTGATGGGATTCAGAGCAGCGTGTCTGTGATTCTGCCTCCCTGCTTCTTAGCACACACTTCCCTTTAGCTTTCTCGTATGTAGTCACAGGGTAACAAAAATAATTACTGCTTAGTCTACAGTTTTTTAAAAATATCTTCTTCTGTGCAGATAATCCTGAGTCTCTTTGTTGCTTCTGCCTGGACAGAAGGCTCCTTGGAAGGGGATTCTGCTTGTGGGGAGCCCTGGGGGGGCTGTGCAGGAGCCCAGATGCCCCCTGCCCAGGGCAAGCAGGGGTACATAGGGCTGGTGTGTGGCTCAGGGAAACCTCAGGGATGGGTTTTGCCTTTGGTGTGGCCAGGAACGCTGCTGAATGCAGGAGTTCTGCCCAGGCTTCTGGTGGCCTCCTGTGAGGACCCTGTCCCCGTTTTGCCTGTGTCCAGAGGGACACGGAACCTGCAGCCTGTTGGGAATGCTGGAGGGGCTGGAGGAACACAAGCCTTGGTACAGGATGGTTTCAGGAGAGGGGATGGCTCTGCCCCCTGGGTGCTGGGTGATGGAACAGCTTCGCTCTGTGCAGAGGCTGGGAGATGCTGAAATAAACACAGCAAGATGCTGAACCTCTCCTCTGGCTGGAAGCTGTGGAGGCAACTGCTGCTTCCCGAGATGGGCAAGTGTGTTTGCAGCAGGGCAGGCTCGCAGCCAGGAGCTGGCTGGAGGTGCTTTGTGCCACGGGGTGAGCGTGGGGCTGGGAACCCACCGGGGCCCTGGCAGGGTCAGCGTGTGGACAGAGCCCTGGCCCACCAGCTCTGCCTTACAGTGTGACCACACAGCGAGTCTTCCCGGTGGCGAGGGGAGGCAAAGAGCCGGGGGTGGTTGCAGCGGGTGGCTGAGGAAGCTCAGCACGCCCAGGAGCAGTTTCCCGTGGGGCTGGGGCAGGTGGAGCCGCTGCCCTCCCGGACCTGGGGTTTTGCCGGCTGGCCATTCCCACCCCGCATTCCCGGGGATGCCCGGCAGGGTCCCCGTTCCTCCCGGGGAGCTTTTGCTGCCTTGGCTGGATGGTTTCAGCCTGCTCCCCCTGCTCCCGGGGGCAGGTTTGCAGGTGAACCCGTCGCCTTCTTTTACCTGACAGCGCTGCTGGGGGAAAACAAAGCGGCCCGAGCTGCTCCCAGCACGTTCCCAGGTGAAAATAGGGTGAGAGGGGCTGGCAGAGCCGGGCCCCGGGCAGGGCTGTCCCCCTCCGAGGGGTGCAGCAGCCCCCCGGGGCATCCCGCACTAATTGCCGCGTGGTCCTGCCCGCAGCTGGTCGAGGGTGGCTAGTCCTGAACAAACAAGTTTATCAGCTGACCTGTTTAGCGGTTGACTTGTGTTTATCTGCACACAATCAAGTAGACTGAAGTGCTTGAATTATTCATGCAGTGTCCTGCCCTCCAGTCTTGACTGCTTGTGATTACATCTGCTTGAGACAAACATTGATGGATACTTCATCTTTAAGCAAAAGGGGATTGTCTGTCTGTGGGCTTATATAACAGATTATCTCTTCTTCACTGAATATTAAGTGTGTGCATATGTGGCCTCGGGTGGGTTTGTGTTGGTTTCCCCTCCCTCCCTCCCCTCCTTTCTTCTGCGTTTTGTTTCTGGTTAAGGGGAAAAAGAAAAGAAGAAAAAAAAAAAAAGTAGTTTCATAAACAACTCCATATGCAAGGAAATATTTAGGAAGTGACTACCCACTTTGTTGCATATAACACACTGAACTGCTCCTTACATCAGCCTTCCTGCTTGCATGGGCTGCTCAGCTTCCTTCAACCTGAGGCTGGTTGGGAGTTTGCTTTTTAAACCCGAGTGGAACTTTTTTTCCCCTCAGGTTAATTGATATTTACCAAAACCTTTGGCTCCCCCGTTGGTTGGGCATTGTTTTTGTTCAGACCTCTGGCGATGATCACTGAATGCAACAGAGGGGGGAAGAGATTTTGAGAGAACCTCATTTTCTGGGGGGAAACAGGACACCTCAGCAGGGGAGAACCTTTCTGCTGGTTTTTGGGGTTTTTTTTGTGGCTGAGAACTTCTCACATCAGCACTTCTTGGGTTTTTTTTTGTTCTGTTTTTTTTTTTTTTTGTGCTTAAACATTTAATTCTGGGAACAAACCTAAACCCTCCTGATGCTTCCACGGGAAGAGCAGCATGGTTTTCCCCCCTCTTTTTTTTTCTAGAATATTCCAAGAACACAATATACTTTGTCATGCTCGTTAGCGAGGAGTGCCAGGTAATAATTTGCTAAATACTTCAGAAGCCAAGTAATTTGTTAGTGTGATACTCTCAGGTCTCCTAAGGTAGAAGGAAAGAACTCTCAGTCAGCTTAACCTCTCCTTGGCTTTGTGGAAGGCTCTGGGTGGGTTTTGGGGGCCCTGGGTAGGTTTTGGGGGTCCTGGCTGAGCTCTGCCCGCCCGCAGCCCGGGTGCTGCTGGTAATTCTATAATGAGGGGTTGTGGCCCGCCCTTCCACACCCCCTCCCCGAATTTAATTCTCATCAGTGAAGCTCTCCACTTTGCTAATAATGATAGCAGCCACAAATAGCTTTCAACATGCCATTGACAGCCTGGTTGGAGAGAGCACTTGAAATAGCGGTAGACAGCTGAAAGTACCCATAATTGTGCGCCGGAGTGAGAACCACACTGCTCAAGGGCCTTATTTTCATGTGCTTAAAGAGACAATATCCTGGTTTCAACAGATGCTTCTGGTGCTTCACTGGTGGTGTGATTTACTCCTGGACTGTCTCCGACCGCCCCTTTGCAGGGCTGGTTTGGGGGGCGCGCAGGGGGTGGCGGAGGGAGGGCTCTGCTGGTGCACACCCGGCTTGGAAACACCTCTCTGGGTGTGTGTGGTGGGTTTGGAGGCAAAGGAGAGAGGTGGGGGCTCACGGGTAGGGTGCTTCACCCTGGGAGTCCTGTGTGAGGTGATGCTGACACCCCATTCCTGCATCCCATGGATCGTCCCCCTCGGCAGCCCCCCCAGCCCCGTTGCTCCAGGGCATTAGGTTTGCACTGGGAAGTCTTTATAATGTTTTTGGCACGTTTTTATAGAGGAGGAAGGGTCAGCAGAGCTATGCTGTGTGTTCAGCCCTGTGTCTCCAGCCTGCGTCCTGCTGTTTGAATCAATAAGCAAGGGCAGGTTGGTCTGGTGTGGCCCCAAATCTGTTCTGAGATGGCATCTGGGGTGGCCTGAGTTAGCGTGACCTGCTTCAAAACCACGTGTGGGTTCATGGAAGGTCTGTCCTGCTCAGGCTGTGGGTTGGTTGCAGGTGCTCTGTGCCTTTGGGAAGGCTGGGGGTGCTCCCTGTGTGGAACTGGTTTCTGGAAGCACCTGCATCCCCAGAGCATGGTTCAGGGCAGGGAGCACAGGAGGGGTTGGGGCTGGTCCTGTGCTTCAGGGTCCTGCCCTGGGGTGCTGGGACCAGCCTAGGGCAGTGGTGGGGTCGGGGAGCCCTGCAGCTCCCTTTGCCTGCTCAGCTGAGGCCAGGACTAACCTATTTTGGCCCAGCAGCATCTCAACTGCCCAGAGCTGTGTCTGGGATATCGTACTGGGGGGGGACTGCTTCAGGGCTGGGGCTGTGCTCGCCTTTGGCTGCTTTGGGCCATTTTTAAGGTTGCTCCTTTCACCTCTGCTCTGCAGATCCCACAGTGCTATTTTTAAACTTCCCTTTGCCATGTCCAGGTGTAAAGAGGGGAGGCTGAGGGGCACGGGGCTGCTGGGGGGGGGCAGCCCCACAGCTATTTAACACGATGCCACCATGGTGCTGCAGCCCGAGCCTGCCTGGCTCCTGGCTCATTTCCAGCTCTCCATGCCCTCAAGTGCTTTGGGTGCTGGTACCTGCTCTGGCCATTTTAAGAGCAGGTGACAGGACTCACAGCCTGTGAGTCTGGCTCTTGATTTACAACCAGTGCAAATGTTTTCTCCGATCCCTCCCCGCTCGTGAAACATCACCCAGAGTGTTTCTTCTCTAGCAGCAGGTCACATTCCTGGCGGGGGCAGGGGGTGCTGGGGGATTAGTTGGGATTTCACGTTCTCCTGACTCCTTGCTCTTTTTAACAAGGGGCATGGAGCTGCCCTCAGCATCCCGTGGCCCCAGGGGGAGCATCCAGAGACGTGCTCCCATGGGTGCTGGTGCTGCTCCTGTGGGTGGGTGCCTCTTCCTGGGGTGCCCTGTGCAGCCCCCAAGTCTTTTATCCACCACTGGTTTGCCCCCCTCCCCCGCGGTCCAGCGTGGATGCAGGGCACTGGAAGGGGATGCGGAGGCTGGGATTGCCATGGCAACCCGCGGCAGGGAATGCAGGTTTTTCTTGGCTGGAGCAGCTCGGGGGGCTCTGCTGCTCTGGGACGAGGTGATGAATGAGCCCTGTTATGGGGAAAGGTGTCAGGCATGAAACCCTCCCCTGTTCCTGGTGTGCTGGAGGATCCCTTTTCACTCCCGATTAAACGTTTAGTGGGGACAACTCGGGTTTAATATGCGGGGGAATGGGAAAAGTTAAAGTGAACAAATATTTAAAGATCATTGAATCTCGTGTTAACAGGAAACCTCGTGGTTGTAAACATAATATTTTGGACATCTAATATCTTCTTGCTGACTGAATCCCATGTGGGAAGTTTCTCTCTTTGCAGAGTGTTAAGTTTTTCCTCAAATCTCTGTTGGAAGTTTGGGCAGAATTGGGTTTAAATTTGGAGGCAACGGGTTGCCCAGGGCAGCTGTGGCTGCCCCATCCCTGGCAGTGTTGAAGGGCAGGTTGGATGGGGCTTGGAGCAGCCTGGGCTGGTGGGAGGTGTGCCTTGCCCATGCAGGGGTGGGACTGGATGGGCTTTAAGGTCCCTTCCAACTCAAACCATTCCATGACCTTGTTTGTCTGGACCATGTTAGTGTTTGAAGGCGCACAGGGAAAACCCAGCACCTTTCCCTGCCTCCCCCGTGGCTCCTGCCTGTTTGGATGCTGCTTTTTTATCTTTTGGACCTAAATGACCTTTTTGGAGGTGCAGCTGGAGGCGCTGCTGGTGCTGGCACCTCTGCTGTCCCCTCAAACAGGGGCTGAATTTGTTCTAGAACTTGCTGGGGGCTGGCGAGGAGGAGCTTGCAGGAGAAGCGACCGTGCTGGAGCAGCAGTGCACCCAGTGCTTGTTGTGTCCAGAATCCAATAGGCTTCATCTGAAGGCATAAATATTTAATGGAGCTGCAGTTTATATATAATCTAATCGATGCCTTGGTGCCAAAAAGGCCTTTAAAGAGGTTCAGCTATCACTGAGCACCGCGTTATCGGTGGCACTGCTGTCCCTTTGAAGTGGCTTTGCTGGGGCGCCAGGCCGGGCGCAGCGTCCCGGGAGCCCGTCCCGCCCGGGGTCTGCACAGGTACCCCTGGTGGGTGGGTGGGTGGGTGCAGAGCACTTCCCAGGCAGTGCTGTGGCTCCAGCATCCATCCCGTGTCCTCACGTTTGGGTCCGGGATCATCCCAGTGGCCGTGGCACTGGGTCCCGGAGTCCAAACTGGGGTCACTTCCAGATGCCTGGTGGTGCTCCCTGACCCCTGTTGGGGCTAATAAAAGCAGCAGGGGTAACCTGATCACCGGGAAAAGGTGGTGGCCAGAAATATCCCTGTTGCTTTGAAGGGAAAGCTAGCAATGCCCGTGTGAAGGTGCTGCAGGTGGCTCCTGGGGACCCCCTGCAGCAGGTCCCCCAACTCTGGGGTCAGTGGGTTGCGTTGGCTGGGGGTGATGGGGGTTCTCCTGGAGGCGCCTTGCTTGTGGTCCTAGGGCATATTGGTTGTGCTTGTTGGGTTGGTCTGGTAGTAACCAGTGTGCCCCAACCACTGCCCACGTCCTCCAAGCAAAGGTTGAGTGTTGGCCTTTTTTTCCTCCAAATTATGGTTTTAGGTTGGATATTAGAAACAATTCCTTCCCCAGAGGGCTGTCAGGCCCTGGCCCAGGCTGCCCAGGGAAGGAGGGGGGAGTCCTCATCCCTGGAGGGGTTTCCAAGCCCTGTAGATGTGGTGCTGAGGGACGTGGGGCAGTGGTGGCCTTGGCAGGGCTGGGGGAATGGTTGGGCTGGGTGATCTTCAAGGTCTTTTCCAACCAAAACAATGCGATGATCCTATGGTTTGGATTTTTTTCTTGCAGTGTTTGAGAACAAGTGGAGCTGAGAGCCCCTCTCCAGGTTGGCACCCACTGGGGCTGGGATTAAAAACCCAAGCTGCTGTAGGGTGCATCCTGGGGTGGGGTGGGGGCTGAAGCCTCGGGGTGCAGGTGGTGATTTGGGGAGCGCACGGGAGGGG